CAGCCTAACATTGCTATTTCTTGTCTCTCTTATGACTGCAAGAGAGTAGTGTTTAGTACCTTTAGAGTGTTAGTACTCATATCCTGAGAAACAGGAGCAAAATAAAGGCTTTTCTTAGGTCATAATAGTGCTTAAGAGCTGATCTTGTGTAGATTTCAGTGCTGTTATGTTTTGAATTGTTATCCTTGGAGCAGGTACAGTGCAAGGAAAGAGCAGACAGATAGTGGCAAACAGGAAATGTTATGATAGCACGTCTCATATCCAAATTTATACCTGGTATCATTCTAACACACTTCTGTATTCTTCAGGTAAACCAGTAATGAGTATCTAACAAAAATTGGTTGCATTCATTCTCTCACAGAATTTGTGAGATCAAGGAATTGCTTTTATGCTCATTTTACAGATTTGATAAGGCTGTGTTACAAACCTGCATGATGAAATTCCTGTTGCCGGAGTAAATCTAAAACTGTGTTTGTGTTAGCACTGCTGTGCTTTTAGTTGTGATGGCTTTGCTGTTGTAGATCTAGTCTTCTTTTTCAGAAGTTTGCCTCTTGTTCATTATTCAGCCATATACACAGTCATGCTGGCATAGCAAGGAGATTCTGCTTCCCGATGCTTTACATTATGATGGTTTGACTTAAATACTGTGCTCAGAATAATACAAGAAATATGTGTCAAAACAAGAAATAAGTCTCCAAGTTAGGCTACATACTAAATAATACTTTAGGCTTTAACTTCAGCTGTTGAAGTTTTTGTTCAGATCTGCTGCTTCAGTGAGGGTTGACTTCTTATTCGACTTCGAATAGTGTCCTACTATTTTCCCTTTGGGAAGGAGGCTAGGTGGAATAGTTTTGATTCTTTAATAGGGCACAATAACATTGTGAGCACCATAAGATGCATTTTAGTCCCTAAATTTTTTCTTGGGCACTGTTATGTGTGATGTTCTGGGCTAGATAGTCTTGTGACGTTAGTCTGTATTATTTCCATCCTTTTTTCCCAAGCCTATATCTTTTACTGTTGCCTAAATTTTGTCTATTGGCCTGTCTTGTATGTTTGTAAACAACCTAGGGGATTTCAGTGTGGTATTTGTTTTGATAGAGCTAAGTGCTTGTACAGAAACACAATATAAACAAACCTGAAGAAAATTCTGTTTGATCCAACACCAATTGTCATTCTTGGCTGTTGTACAGGCCAGCATAAGTTCAATGATTTCTGCTCTGGTTTTCATCCTGAACCATTTTAACTAACAGTTAATATGCAACTGTTTGCCTCTATCTTGGTTCTAAGCATATTTATGCTTATTAAAGTAATTTGAAATTGTTTCCTGGTCAGAAAAACAGGAACAAACCACAGTATGTTTTTTTACTAGAGGAATCACATAAAGAACTTGATGCATTTGTCAAATCTATCTTGACAGAAATTATTCATGCTCAGGGAAAAAAAAATAAGAAAGGTGATCTTAAACATAAAACATTGGCATGAGTTGAGAAATGTGTTGCTATAACAGAATAAGTGTTTATTGTCAATTAGTATTTATTATAGCAGAGTGTGGAGAACATCACTTCCCAGAAAATAGTTTCCATCAGGAAAGATATTTTGGATAGCTGCTGTATTTGGACAGCAGAAGTGTCTGCGGTCTTGGGTTGTATCGCCCCTGTCAGATAAATAAATATAAGTTAAATCAAAGGTTGATGATTATTTTTGAGATGACCTGTTAGGGGAGATATGAGAAATTTCTTTGGAGTAAATTAGGTGATGCCATCTATAGAATAAATGTCCACCTGACAGATGGCTGCTTCATTATCAAATCACTATCTCCATCAATGCTGAGCAGCAAAACAGCTGGAGATTATCAGTGGTCCCCCTGGGAGGCTTTCCCAGCACCATTCTGCTGTGAAATGGCAGCACTCTCTCTGACACCCACGGAGTGCTGGTGTCATGGCTCAGCACAGAGGTGCTGTAAGAGCAGTGAGTGTCAGCCATGCAGCTGCAGTGAGGCATCCAGGTAGGACTGCCTAGAGAAATATAGATTAAATTGCAACAAGACTGATAGATTTACTATAAAGTGACTGAAAGGTTCAGGTAAGAAGCATTTCAGCATTTCAGAGTTGCTATGATGTTACTTTTGAGTTATGCTGAAGTTCCGCATTTGCTTGTTCTAAAAGGTGCGTACCATCAAAGAAGTTGAGTTTTAATTTCTTGCATCAAGTCATTTCTGCTTTCCACTCTGTGAGTAAAATCTTATTGCATGTGTAAACTCTGCCTATAGATGACAAACTTTGAGAAAGTCAAGTGAAATTATAAATTGTATAGGATTCCAATATATAGTTTTAGTCACTGGAAGGAGTACCACTTATGCAGCCCTGGATGTTCTGTCCCAAAGATTTAAATTATAAAATAATTAGTAACCACTAGCAAGTAAAAACAATGTAAAGTATAATTAGAAGTACCATTTATCTTGAACAGTTTATTGAGATGTCGTAAAGGTTATTATGTCACAAATTCAATATATAACATTTATAGCTTTATCATATCAATTATCTTTAATCTTTGGAACATTTTAGCTGTCATATAAATTTACTAATATTAAAGATTATTGGAAAAAGCATTCTTAATTCTGAGATCCTAACGACTTTATTCCAAAACATTCAAAGTTGTATGATTTTGCTGTTTCAAATACTTTTTCTTTCTGTTTTGGCCTGCTGTGAGAATGACTAGAAAGTGATTGCAGCTTTAATTGTGTTACCATTAAGTGCAATGATTCACCATATCCTCACAACACTTCTACTCAGGCAAATGCCTATTGAATCCAGAATACCATAAACTGATGGGTTACTTGCTACATATGTATTGTTTAGTGTGGATGCTGTAAGTTGTAAATATGGAAATAGATTCTAGATCAATACATTTTCTCCTGGAATGCACCTGTTTCTCTGGCAACAAAAATCCTAGCAGAAATAAAACACTGAAGTAAATTCTTCAGCTGAAGACAAAACAGAAGCTTTTTTTTTTCCTTTTTTTTTTTTTTTTTTTTTTTTTTTTTTTTTTTTTTTTTTTTTTTTTTTTTTTTTTTTTTTTACTTCAGTTATTAGTTCTACTATTGATGTTGTTTTTCATGTTAATAAAACCCTGCACCTTCAAACCAGGAAATGTGGCTCTTACAGCTTTGTGCAGAAAAACAGGAAGAAAAATTTTAGAATGTTTATTTTTTTGACCATCTGAATTACAGTGTCACAGCAGAAGCTTGCTAAAGTAGCATATTTTGCTAAGAGAAACTATTTAAATTATAAACCAGAATCTGATGCTTTATTATCATAATGTAATATATGGATCAACATGTTACTATTTTTAATGCAGGCAAAAGAGCAAAAAGAAGAAGAAATATTTTAATATTTTGAAAATGACAGGATGGGAAACAACTGTTTCACCAACACTATTGGAAGTAATTAGCAAGATGAAAATATTCTAAAATTAACAGTAGCAGAACACTTAATCTATGTTTTGTATTATTTTTGCAAGACTTCCATTTAAAAAGCAGCACAAATCCTTTTAGTGCCTGCATTTCTTGAAGTTGTAGAGAAAGAAAGCCTTGAAGCAAAAAATAGGAAGGCCATGGTGGTTACTCCCATTTGCTGCTCTTTCAACCACACATTTAGATGAAACCAAAATTGCATATTTAATAGAATTTAGAGGACAGAAAATAAAATAGTTTTATTGCATAATACAGCTACCACAGGAATATGTATTTTAGAAAACTTATGCTAAGTGTTGCACTAAATCCTCTTTTCCAGCATAACTGTTACATTTCTCATCAATTTCCCTTATCATTTTGAAAAGGTAAATTACAACCTACTATTGATCTGACATTATAGATGGAAAAAATAATAGTATATACATACTTCACATTACAGTACTGACAGTGCCATTTTGGCACTAACTGGTATGAGGATTTTTAAATATAGATATCTATATAAACACATATTCTCCTCCTTTCCATCCCCTAAATCGGCAGCACGTTCAAATTTTTCTTCATTTTTCTTACATGATCCAGATGAATTGCTCAGGTGCAGTACTGTGGACATAATGTCTGTAGTAATGTCTGCAAACAGAAAAGCCTGAAGCCTAAACTGCAGGTGCTTCAGAAGCAGCTTTCTACTTAGGCTTGCCTTCCTGCCATTTTGTTTTTGTTTTGAAAATACAAATCCATGCATAATTTTAAAACAGATTGTAAACAAAGACAGATGCCTCACTTTGCTTGAATTATCTGTGCCGAAGTACTCCTGTCCCCTGAGCTTGTCAGTAAGATTTGTGTTGTGGTAAAGTACTTTGTCAGGACTCAATTTCAACTTTTAAATACTTTTGATTTTATTTGGAACATTTTTTTTTTTTTTGTAAGGGAGAAATAATTTTAGTTATGCCAGATGATGTTATTACTGTTCATTACTGTTTAACCAGAAACATAATTCTTAGTACTGTATGAAACACAACTGGTGCTTTTTTTTATGTATAGATGGGAGGAAGAATATTTGCTGTCTTTGTACTGGGGTATGTTAATTTGCATTGAAGGACAAGAAGGCAAAGATTGTAGCTAAGTTTCTGAGAAGAGGCAGGATGTGAAATGTTTCAGATTTCTAGAGGGGTTTGGGAAATGCCTATACATGAAGCCATATTTTTAAAATCACCCTTTGTTCTGTTTCTGAAGTCCCATCTGTCACTCAGTGAACATCTTCAAAGGAGAGGTGTAGTGGCATTCTAGCTGCAAGGCTGGAAATATAAGAAGTAGGAAAACTCTGCAGTGGAAGTTTGTTTACAATTATTGCTAAAGAATAATTAGGTACTTTTTGACTCTTGTCATTTGTCTTATTAGATAAACCGTGCTTTGGAAACAAGCTATCCGCTTATAAACTTTCCCAGCTGTGTAACTCGGTAAAGTACAGCACTTTGTCAGAGCAGGTCCATTAACCTTCTGACTGGCGCTCTTCTCTTGGCTTTGATTGCAGCAGCACACAGAAGCACCCAGCCCGTCGCTGCTCCCCCCATCAGCCTTGCCCTTGGATGTACTAAACAACGCCGTGGCTGGCTTTAGCACCGTGGAAGACCTTATCCGCTACCTTGAACCAGAGCGGTGGCAGCTGGATTTGGAGGATTTATACAGGCCAACGTGGCAACTTCTTGGGAAAGCATATATTCATGGGAGGAAGTCAAGAGGTAATTTACTCTTCTCTCTGGCCTTGCAGCTTGCTATGGGTATGATTTCTTGACAAAGAATTAAGAGTGTTTTTCGCCTTGAGTTTTGGTTCCAAGAGGAATACATCAGAAGGAGAGCAGGTTCCATGGTTGTTCGCTGTCGTCACCATTGTATTATTTGAAAAAGAACAATAGCTAAACTCAAAACTTAAAGGAATTTAGCAGGATAGGGCAGCAAGGTGGAACTATTAAAAAAAAAAAATAAAAAAACCAAAACAAAAAAAACCACAGCAGTTTCCTGTAGGGAACCTGGGAGATCTTTATTTCCCTAAAGTAGCAGGGCATCTTGATAGGGTAACATATTTAAAATTTGTGGGTTTCTGTTTTTGTGGAGGGCAAAAACTTTATTTATTTTGAAGTAATGGCTTAGACTGGTATAATGTGAATTATTTTTTATTTCCCTAAAATTTTTCCAGTCTATACATGAAATGAATTGAGAACAATACTTAAATATTTCTCTTTGATGACACCTTAAGAAATACCATGTGTTCTTGTCTGGGTTGATCATGCAGTTGTCAACTTCATCAGAACTAAAGTAACTGTGTTTTCAAAATTTCTAGATCTATTGACAGCAACTCATTTTCTTCCTTCTACATCTGACACTCCTGAATCTCCTGCCACATCCCATCCAGATGTTATCTACTATTTCATGTTTATGGATATGTGGATGGATAGTGTGAAGGCAATACCACCTTCCTTGTCCACCATACAGCATGAAAAGGAAAACATATGAGCATAACTTAACAGACTTCCCTGTTGGTGGATGTAAACTAGAAGGTTATTATCTGAGAGCAAGAAAAGGGAGGAAGTAGAACCTCGCATTGCTCAAATTTAAGGGTTTGATCGTTAATTCTTAGATCAGAGCCTAGAAATCAACTTTGCACCCTATCCATATTGCTGTGCTATAGTTGTGCATAGAGCAGCTGAAATATGAGCCAAAGAGGAGGAAACATCTTTAAAAGCCCTCAGATAGTCATTTAACACTTCCTTAATTAAAGAGATTTAGTATTTGCCAAATGCATGCCATAAGCACACAGTAAGTGGGAGAAAAACAAAATGCAAGTGTTGGATAACATCTATATAGACAAAAGAACCTCCCTGCAATATACATCTTAGAAAGAAACTATCAGAGTAAATCTTTTAAAGACTTCTAATTAGATGCTGAAATAGATTTTTTTCACTGAATAAACATATCATGGTATTGCCACATTTGTCTTAGAGACCACCCTCAGACTGCATTACTGAGTCTGTAATTTAATAGCCCGAGGTGGAAAATATGTCCAGTTGAAATGACATAGGACTATTTAATAGACTGGAAAAGCAAAATCTTTTTCTTATTGTTAATTTTTTCCCATGATATTCTCTCAAGCAACATGCTGCTGTATTTCAAAACATTTTTAAGAAATGTTTGTGAGAAGGGCATATCCTAAAATTTTTCATTTTATTCAAACTCTTTGATTTATGATTAGATCAGTTTCATTTATTACAATGTTTCAGTGTAAAAGCTAAATTACTGCCCCATTTTCATAAACAAGTTACTAAAAGTGTATCTTACTTTATGTAAAGAAATAACCTTTACTCCTATGTAATAATTTGTATGGAAAAACTATATTTAGACAACCTCAATTCCAGAGAACTTCTGTCTCTGATGTTTTCTCTGGATAAAATGCTTCCAAAAACTTCTAGTCAGGAAAGAAAAAAAGCCAAGTTCAGCAGCTTTGATGTCAAAATATAGTCCTAAATTCTTTTATAATATTAAACATGCTTAAAATAAAATATATTTTACTGTTCAAAAAAAATTATCTCATCACTTCCCACTGAAATCTATGTATACTCTTTAGATCATATTCTGAAATCTCCTTAAGGAGGAAAAAAATAGTCCCAGTGAAAGCACAGTCCTTAGCAGTTGTGGTTTTGGTACAGTTATGTCACTTTTTTTTTTTTTAATACTCCACTTCTTGCTTGAGATTTTGTAACAGCTCCTATTGTAGAAGCCAGTAAGAAACTTACATTCCCAGGAGCATCTCCAAAGTGCTTAGGAATAAAAACCATTCTGCTGCTATCTGTGTTCACACACAAGTGCCTCAGACAGAATTTCATTTGTTTCATTGACTTTGAGAGCAGTATCCAGCTGGAAAAATGTTTTGGGAAAGAAGTTTCCCTGTGGTACTTGATACACATCCAGAAGATGCCAGAAAATTGCATTGCCAATTGCATAATACAATTAATTTCAGGCTGCTGTGAGCATGGATTAGTTCAGTTGTGTGTACCAGTGTAGGCACATTCTTAAAATACACTTTACTGTAGGCCTACCTGCATCTAGATATTTCTCCTTCACTTATTTTTATTTTAGTGTTTCCCATTTATATGCTACTGCAGAGCCTTTCACTTCTGAGCTAGTGCTAGACAAAAGAACCTTGACTGTTGTGTCAAACATGATACATGAGTGGAAGCCAAGTTGAAGGAGTGTTTAAATGTTCACATTATAACAGGTACTGAAACTCAGTGCACTTGAGAAATCCACATAACCTTTTATTGTGGTTAAGTAAACACTTTTAAGGGAATATATACATTCTCTCATCTAGTTTCGTGCCCACAGTGTGTTAAAATAAATTTTGAACAGACAGCTACTCTTTGAAAAAATAACAGCTTCATTCACACACTTCAAAGAAGTGACTATATAAGCACCAGATAAATTTGCCACAGACCTTTTAATGAAATTGGATTACATAAGATAGGGCAAGGGTTCAATGTGAGGTATCATAGCAATATACCTTAGTACATTTTAAAGCATGGAAATCAAGCATGACATTTGTTCATCTCTCCTGAAGCCTGTTGTAACAGTACAGCACACTGAAAGATATCTGCTAAGAGCTGACTGTGTGTTCTCCAAGAGAACCATTTTAAAATTAATGTCTCCAGGTCTGAGGGGTTGAGTTAAAATTAATTTCTTTTTTGTGACAAAGTGAGTAACATGCCGTTAATTTTAGTGCATTGCCCTTTTCTCTATATCTACAGCTAGCTGTAGGTATGGAAATTAATGCATTCCTCTGCTGCTGCCAGAAGGCAATGGAGAAGGACATAACCACACAAGGATCTCTCCCACTCCTCCATGGGCCTGCTGGAAGAGGTGTCAGTGCCCACTTTCACTTTCAGTATCTCATGGTGAAGGGCTGACCAGCATGTAAGATTAGCTCCTTCAAATTCACTGCAGCATGCGTATCAGTCTCTGCAGAAACAATCATCCAGGAGAAAGTATTAGCAGAACTAGCACTTCTCACAGTGTGCTTCAGGCATTTTATCCTCATTCAGACAGCTCACTTATTATATGTTTGAAAACATTACAGAAGAAAGGAATAGTCCATTCCTGTCCACAGTCCCTGATTAATGGAGGCAGACATATCCACCTTTTAAGTGACTCAGCCTAGAGCTATTAGATGATCAGAAGGGCTTAAATAATTTCTGGTTTCTCACAGTGAATCTCTCCCCCAGAAGTTTTGTCTCTCTTTTCTTTGTTCTCAACTTTCTCCAAGGAATGCTCTTGCAGTGTGGGAGGCAGGCTGGTGTCCTATCAGTAACTTTATTGGAGTTATTACACACTCCTCCCTCTTAAAATTCAGTTTGTTTATTTAGGAGGCTATGTTAATCTGATAGTGATGGAATGAAGTTCCCCAGCTTGGCATTCACTGTGAGTGAAAGCAAAGAAAAGGCATCAGTGTGTTTAACTGACCTTTCACAACAATAAATCCTTACTTATGGATGCCAGTATATGGGTATGCCTGCAAAAGAAATGTTTGAAGGAACATGGATTGAAATTCCTTCCCAAAGATCTGCTCCTTGGAGAGTACCAGTGAGCATTTCTGCTAAAGAAATTCAGCTTCCAATTTTTTTTATGTCTTATGTGTTTAAATAGAATTAGGAGGAATTATCTTGCCTTGATTGGCTGAAGTTCTTTATGACCTCTTGAGGCTCTTTACATAGCAGAGAGGGAAAAAAAAGTATTTCTCCAGAGGGTGATTCAGATCAGAAACTTATTTTAGCTTAACTCTATATATTTTTATTTATGAATAGATGACATGAAAGAATTTTTAAGCTATATTAGAGCACTGGGGTTCTTTTCCTCCCTAATAATTTACTTGATTTAGCTTAAAACTAGTTGGTTAAAAGTCTTAGTCACTTTAATTGGGGCCCCTGTTTCACTCATCTCAATAGCTATGTTATCATAGGGTTTTCATTTTCGTTTTCTCTTTATCTTTTTATTTTTCACTAGAGAGAGTAGTATCCCTGTGAATTAGACATTACTTCTGTTCCTTAATGGTAGGTATGGAGAAAAAACAATTCAGACAAAACACCTTAGATCATGATCACTACAATCTGACTTTTCTGAAATAAATTCCATTTACATTGCTTCTCACTTTTTTTCTCCCCAGTCTCATGCATTTTTTTCCCAATTTTAACTGCTGCTTTCAAGGCTTGTTAGCTCTTGACTATGCAGCTAAGATGAACGTAAATGTTGTCATCTTTCAGATCTTTTCATGAACTTGCTGTTCATCCATTGGCATAGTGAAGCTTTAATATTATACAGTGGAGCCAGTTTATAGGGAAACTGGTGCCAAATATTACTATCTTTAACAAGTTAGTTGCTTACAAGGAGGAACTTTTATTTAAGACACATCAAGAGAAACAACAGAAATTCATGTATATGCTGTTATGGAGAAGGGGGAGAAAATGGAACATACTGATAGTTATATAGATATACAATCTTGTGGAGTTATTTATTCTGTGCAGAATTCCCTGATGATGACAACTTCTTGAAGTTCTTAGTCCATAAATGTGATTTCTGCTTAGATATGAATGGTTTCTTTCTTTCTTATAATTACAACAGCCTAGCAAAGAAGCAATAGTTGAAATTGTAACAAGGAAGAAGTTTGAATGCTTTATAGCAAGTGATGTCTTTGAAATCTTGCAGGATTCTTAATTGCTCTGTGTGTGTTTCTCCAATCCAAAATGACCATAGAATAGCAACACTGGAGCTCAGAGGATTAGTGTGACCAACGTGACTTCCATTAGGGTTGATTTGATAAAACAGGTACTGGAACATAGCAGCCAAATCTTGCTTTAATTTGAACCAACGTTGCCAGAGTTATAAAATAATTGGGGAATATCACTATGCAGCGATCATTCCATTTGAGTTTCATGGCATTCATGGAACTGCAGCACTGTACTTCTGTGCTGAACCTGCACAAAAGCGACCCTTCCCCACGGGTTCTGCACCGCTGAAGTTGATCTGCCGCGAAGGAACCTGGATTGCAGATGAGGCAAGCGGCGTTTTCCCTGTCTCGTTGCAGTGGTGGATCTGAACCTCCTGAAGGAGGAGGCGCGGCTGTACAGTTGCACCCCGCGCAACTTCTCGGTGTCGCTGAGGGAGGAGCTGAAGAGGACAGACACCATCTTCTGGCCTCTGTGTCTGCTGGTGAAACGCTGCGGTGGAAACTGTGCCTGTTGTCAGCAGAGCTGCAACGAGTGCCAGTGTGTGCCAACAAAAGTCACCAAAAAGTACCACGAGGTATGCACTATTTTTAAATTTTCATGTTTGGAAACACTGAAAGCCAATATAATAAAATGAATGCACCGACATTAATATTTTAATATCTTATGTATTGCACTTCTAGTAAATAATTTTTTAGCATTTTAAATAGGTATTGCATTGAAAAAAGTGAAATCTTCCTTGGTTATATACTTTTCTGTGCAACTAGTAATTAATTTCTGAAGTATTTACTAGTGCATTTCAGACATACTACACCCATATCTTTTGTTCTTCTTTCTCTAGTGGTTGATATCAACTTTATGAAGAAACAAATATTTGTTCATTTCCATTGCTATAAATTTATAGCTAAAATTATTTATTATAGAATTTTCTAATTGGGTTAAATCTACTGTTTGCTCTTAAATAAAATTAAGTGGAAATCTGAAATTGCAAGACTCTTCTTTGGTAAAGCAATATGATTTAATCATGTTCAACCTGATTTAATCAATTTTGTAAATGGCTTGAGGTAAAAGCAAAAATAGTAATGAGTGGATGGAATTAATGAAGTTTTAATATGCTTCCTGTCATCCAGTGGGTTTTTAGTGCAATCTAGCTCATAGTCTAGGTGTGTGATGAAGCACTTGCTGTTTTCTTGATGCTTGGCTTCTTCTCCTTCAGGTTCTTCAGCTGAAGCCAAGGATTGGTGTCCGAGGATTGCATAAGTCATTGACAGATGTACCCTTGGAACACCACGAGGAGTGTGACTGTGTGTGCAAAAGGAATACTGAAGGATAAACATGATATAATTGTGCTGTTTTCTTTCAAAGCACATTCAATCAATGGCTGATTCTATTATGGGGCTTGTGCATTATCTCCTTCTGTAATCTCAGTTGTTTGCTTTGGGGATCTTCCATCTTGAAGATTTACAGTGAGCTCTAAAAAGAGAAGCCAAACTGGGATTATATGTTGTGTGACAGCTCTGTTTGGAGACCCAGTGAAAGGATGGGAGAGAGGCATCAATGAGGGATTTAAAATATATGTATTGTTTTGTCCCCTGCAATTTTCTTGGCAATACATGGATTTATAATTTAGGAGTAAAAAATAGATTTAGAAGGCTGACATCATGGAGACTTGATCCTGCTGGCTGTCTCATTTCTACAGCTCGAGTACATCTGGCCTCTGGTTGAAAACACCTGAAATCTTTGTGTTCAGCTACTCCTATGTACTCTAAATCAAAGTGTTCTCTGTTGTATAAACTTGGGTTAAAACAGACTGTCTTTTTCTGAATTAAATTTAATTTGTCTAATGCTGGTAGGAAGGACTGGATTTTTCCATATGCTCTAGTAAAGCTCCTGCCTTTTAGAAGGAAGACTGGACAATAATGTGAGCTAAGGAAGCAAACATTGAAAAGATCAGTGCCTTTATTCTTACTACTATGGCTGATGATTTTTTTTGTGTGTTTGTTATTTTTTATCGTGTACATTTTTATACTCTCCTTTTGATGATATAACTATTTGCTTTTCTAAACTTGTTAAATATATCTATTTTTACCAAAGGTATTTAATATTCTTTTTTTTATTACAAACTTGATCAACTATTTTTTAGTTTTGTGAGACTTTAAAGCCAGATTTATACAGTTGGAGGAACAGAGATGTGACTACAGTGGGAAAGAAGCATGATCTCTTTGCAGTTTGTTTCTACAAAGTGAAAAGTACAGTTTTCTTACTTGGATTCACAGTAATAGTGGACAGAGATGTGTGGATGAAGCTCTAAGCTTCATGAGGCTAAAAATATGAGTGACAGAGGTTACTATAAGTGGTTTTAGAAGTTGAATTTAAAAATTCCCCCTCTCCATACTGTTTTTTGTTCAGGTAGAAAAGAAATGAGCATAGATGGATGCATTCTGGCTTGTTTAACTCTTTAATTTCTTTAAAGGAGAATGACCTACAATGTAAGAAAAGGAATCAGTGGCTTGCAGCCATCATGATGCATCATGGTCATGGGAAGACAGCCGTGTCAGTGGTGAAGTGTAGAGTTTTCCATTGACAGAAACTGCTGCTTAAGTGCAGTTCACTCACAGGAACATAACACTCTGCAGTGCAGTTTGATGAACTCCATGGTATCGTTCTTCTGTATGTTTTATTCTTTAACCAATACACTTATCCCACCCCATGCAAACTGAAATGGAAACAGTAAAGTATTTTGCTTGTAAAATGCTTTAACATTATGCCTAGTTTATTTTTTTGACTATTGGATTTTCAGATTGTAATGAATCACAAAATAAAGTAATAATGCTAATTTTGGGAGAATAAATGTTTCGGTGTGGTTGCATATTTGTACCTGTCAGTATACAATTTAATGGGAAAAGTTAGGATGGTGATTTTCTCCTTCCCATTTTGCAAGTCAGCTCTAAAAAGAAAAGTCTTCTGTTGCCAAGACTTCCACTTGCTTTATTAATTCTGCATTACTGTAAATCCACTAGAAGAAAAAGGAAAGGAATTATTGTGATGCTATTTGTAAAAACATTCCAAATATTCAAATTTCTGTGGATGTGAAGCCATCAGATTGAAATACCATCATCTGTTATTGTTTCCATAGTGAAAGGTTTTTTTGCAAATTAGAATGACTTTCTGATACCAGTTCTGGAAAATATTCAGGTGGGTTCTTATTTTGTCCCCACCCTTAAACACCTACTCAGTAAGAAAAATTTCTGGTGTAAATGTGACATATAATTTTCCAGTCTGAATATTAACCCTGTATCAGAACACAGATTTAGGGTCACACAAGAAACCTGGTTTACCTGAGTTTTGAGTCTTTAACCAGAAGTTTTTTGCAGGGATGTTGGGGATGTTTTTGCATTAATGTTGTCCTTTTTTTCTTTTTGCCTTTTTTAAAAAAAAAAAAAAAAAACAAACAAAAACAAAAACTTTTGAACAGCAAGTCAAGGTAAAAACAGAAATCATAGTTTCTGGCATCAGATGTAATTCCATTACAGAAGATTCTGCTGTAGGAAATGCAGGAGGTCTCATCCTCTCTGTAGACTTGCTAGGGGGAAAAGGCTGGTCATGAATTTTGGAGTAGTTATTTGGTGGTAGAAGAGTAATGGGGAGTTTCTGGAACCATTTGGGATATGGAAAGTAATGTTTTCCAAATGTCACGAGTAATATTTTTCTCTTGCTCCTCTCTGGCTCACTTTCTTCCTTGCCAGTTCCTTGAACCAGTTTCCTTCCCAACTGCTTGCTATGGATCTGCATATGAGCTCCTTACCCATCTTCACCCATCACTGAGCTCTGTGCCTCCCCCTTGGCTCCAGGCTCAGGCTTTGTCTTCCCACTACTTCTGCCGGGACTTCATTTTCCTGCCTCTCGTCAGACATTCAGATTTGGCACTCCACCTCCTCCCCAGGTGAAAGTGTGGAGAGGCTCATTCCCCCTCCAGGAGGGATGCGGGAAAGGCACCAGCTGAGGGGAGCAGTGAAGGCTGCAGTTCTCCTGCTTGGTGCTGCATCCCGGGTCCCGCCAGGCAGAGCAGCTGCTCCTGCCCCTGGGTGACTTCTAAGCAAAAGGTGTGGTAAAAACTGACTGAAGGTATTGATAACGAGTTACTAACAAGCAAACTAACTGTGCCTTTAACAGCTACAGGTAATGGCAGCTGAATGCCAAGGATGTTTGGAAATTGACATAAGTGGGTGGTAAGCCTGTGATTTTCTAATGTGGAATAGAAGATGCAAGTTTTGATCTTACATCTTTGTGGAGATCTTTTTAAAATGTTACTGTTGTGTTTTAAGCTATGAATTCCTGAATTGCATTAATGTAAGCGTCAGTGTTTGGCAATAATGGCTGTTTCTAAGGGTCTAAACAGTGGAAACAACCAAGTAGGATAAAGTAGCTCCTGTAAACAGACAAAATCCAAATAGCACAGTCTGGATTTTGTAGGTTTTATCTTATGCCCAATAAATGTCTTCAGTCAGAAGTAATTGTTCCCCCCAGAGGAATAGGTGGGGGAGCTGATGACTGATGTTGAGCCTTGTTTTTATGGATTCTGTAGATACTCACATTCCTGGAACCTTCCTGTCAGCTGTGGCCAGCATGGGAGTTGTGGAGAAGCACAAATCTTTACTCACCAAGGGCGTTAACTGCAAATCTCTTGACTCCTAAAAGACTTTAAGTGTTTTTGCTCTGTGTCTGCCTGGTTGAACAGGCTTACAGCTCCTTTTCAGCAGAAGAGGAGAAAAAAACATGCAGATGATACAACAGAGAGTGTGGAGAAAAAAAAAGAGAAACAAAAAGCAAAGATTTGGTTTTTATTAGCAAGTACATCATCTAATGCAAGCTATTACCTAAATTCCTTACTAATAAAGAACTGGGTTGAAACTTTAAAAATTTGCAATTCAGATGCTGGCTGCTTAAATAGTCTCATTTTGATTACTCAAATTCTGAAAATAAAAATTGTAAACAATTACTTTGTTTGACTTCTGAAGATATAATAATAGTGCTACTATTCAAGGCTTTCTCATGAAACCTCATGCAGAAATGTTAAAGCATCATGGTTTTGAGATTTTTGTTCCAACCAGGTGCTGAAGCTAAGTAGACCAACTTTTCTGACTGTTTGTGATATGGTATTTAAATTACTTTCAGCAAGATTGCTCTTTGTATCATTTTTTGTGTGGGATGCTTTATCAATTTGCATTTGAAAGTCTTTTTGTGTGCCTTTTAAACCCAAGAGCAGTGGTTTTGTTTATCTGCCAAAATCACAGTGTGAAAATATGGCTGCTTAATTCAGCATAAATTGGACAAACTTTTCAGAGAAAACAGTTTGCCTGTTGCCTCACTGCTATTCTTCCAGACTGTAGTAAGAAAGATGAGTTTACAGCTCAGTCATGGAAGAATGACAGCTTTTTCTGCAACTGTGATAGTACTTAAGCTGTATTCCTGCTCTGAATCTTGCTCTGTGTCATTGAGCTGGTCTGTCTTTGTCAAGTATAGAGGCAAAGCCTAGCCTTCCCAGCTGAGGCAGCTCTATTAGGTAAATAAGGTTATCAATGGGAATACTTCACACACAGGCCTGTTTTCTGAACAAAACATTGCTTTCTCAAAGAGTCTTAAGGAGTTCTGAGTCTGGAATGCCTTTCCATATAGCTGATTTGGCCAGCTTTTTTTTGCCTAAGTAAAGTAGATAGAAGTGCCAGTTTGACTATGCTGTTATTACCTTCTACAGATTCTGCTTCACTGAAGACAGATCCAAGCCAACTTGGATCTGGTGTCTCTCATGTTTAGGGTGGGTGATAAACCACATCTCAGTAGACTTGCTTTCTTTTCACTGTGCAGAATCCAAATAAATTAGCAAGGTTAGGAAGAAAACTTGTTTATCTGTCTTTGTCCTGCTTCACACATATCTGTGGGCCTTGTCTCAGACAGTATCTGAAACTGAAACTTATTTAAGAGTGAAGGCCATAATGTTTGAAATGTTTGAAGGCCATAATTTTTTGAAAAACAGCATCACACAGTGATCAGAACAATTAGCAACTTTGAGACTCAAACAATCATAGAATGAACTTCACTATTTTGCTCAAAAGGCTTCATTTAGAGACTGAGAAGATGAAACTGTTCAAACCTTGATTTCACTCTTTTAGAGGTTTTCCATAATTTCAGAAGAGAGGCTTCTACTCACCCTCATTAATAGCTTATTAATTCTGTAATCTTTTGTCATAAATTGAGTGATTGCTCTCAAAAACAGTAAACACAAAAGTCTCTATTTCCTCAGGTTTTAAAAGGCTGGACCCCTGATTCTTTCAGCCTTCAGGGTGACATTTCTTTTATTGTGACTAACATACTTTTCAGTGAGGAGAAATCAGTGACCTGGGTACCATGTAGCACCTTTATGCCTGAAAGCTAAGCAGCCTTTTGGTATACTTGCAGAGAGGAGGTGTCAGACAGGAATTGGCTTTTTTGGTGCCTTCACATAATTGAAAAGTCCTAGCAGACTAGCTGAAGGATGTATGGAATTCAAATACAAAATTCCACAACTGTTCTCCAGAAAGGATATGTCCCACATGCAAAGCCTCAAAAATAAGTCTGTTTACCTGTGACTCAGTTTAGTCACTTTTCATGTCTCATGTTGGAGGTAAGCGCTGAAAGAAAAAGCATATCTGAGCTATAAAATCTCTTTCATCTAAAGCCTTAAGCAACTAACTTATAACAACAATCTTACTCTGTGTTATGCTTTGTAGTTAAATCTTGAGCTTAAGCACAAATTTCTGATACAATCAAAAAAAAAAAACTCTCCTCCTGGCTGGGGAGCAGGTGAGAGGGCATCCTTTCCTGACAATTTGATGGCATCTGGCTCTTTGGGAAGCAGTTTGTACATATATGTGGGATGTGCATCTGGTCATTTGTGACAGGCTGGCTTCCACTTAGAAAACTGGTTATTGATTATGAAGAATGATTATGAAGTCTATGAATAAGAAAACAAGTGAAAGGCCTGTGTTGCCTTAAACCAAGTGCTCATCTAGTTCAGCATTCTTGTCTCTATATGTGGTGATCATTGATGGAAGCATACTTGGAAGTATGCTATGTTTTCCAAATTCCATAGATCAGCAGTTTAGGACTCCTTTGGCCAGAGTTTGAATTACAGCCCATAACATTCTCAGGAGGAGCTGTAAAACACAGCCCATTTAAATAAATTGATGTGTCTTTTGCATTATGTAATCACAGAGTGCTGAAATACAGCACAGGTTCTGCCTCACAGATAGTTATCATAAGTGTCTTATCTTGATTTCCTTTGCCACACCTGGGCTGAACAGGTTGAAAAGGAACAGATCAGCTGTTCTACTACCAAAAAGGCAGTGGGATCTTGAAGTAACTCTTTTACAAAGGAGATGCAACACACTTCTTGCATGCACTGTGAAGTGTTCAATAAAAGCAGTGTCATACAGACTAATTAGTTTCAGGAAGGATAGAAAAATGTTACTAAATGTTCTTTTGCAGAGTATTGTTAGTATATATATTTCCTGCTGTGCATTTCATTGTACCCAAGGCATCACTCAGGTTGCACGATCTTTTCTAATACATTTAATATTCTTTTTTTCCCCATCACTTTCAGATAAATTAAAATATTAGGATTTTTTTAGTGCTGAAATTTTGACTATTGCTAACAATGATTCAAGAAGTATTGGAGGCAAACTTTAAAGCATAGCCATTACTAAACAAGATTATGTGTTAACATCTGAAACAAAAGAGACAAAATTATATCCTAAACTACAATCTGTGACTCTGAGGAATTCCTTTCAGTCACCTTGGCAATTGTACATTTCC